CTCTCTCTCTCTCTCTCTCTCTCTCTCTCTCTCTCTCTCTCTCTCTCTCTCTCTCGAAGCCGTTAGATGGGCTCGATCATGCTTCCCTGAGGTCCTCGGATACTCTCATACCGATTTCAGTACCTGTTCACAGATATATTACGTTCAAATGATTTCACTGTGTATGACAATATGCGCCAGACATAGCTGTGTATTATTGAACTTAGGTAGCATACTTGAGCGGGTGTATAACCGGCGGTGCTCGGGCGCTGGACGCCACATCTTCACTACCGTGTTCATCATTACAGCCATCTTAATTACGCATCGTGACCCTTCGCCTCTGTTGCACCCACATCACCCACCTGCCCCACACCCACCTGCCCCCCCCCCCAACCCCCACCCAAATCAGCCACTTGCCCTTCCCCCCCCCCACATCACCCACCTGTACCCCCAACCCACCCACATCACCCACCTGTACCCCCAACCCACCCACATCACCCACCTGCCCCCTCCCCCCACATCACCCACCTGTACCCCCAACCCACCCACATCACCCACCTACCCTCCCACCCCCCACATCACCAACCTCCCCCCCCCCCACATCCAACACCACCTCACCGGAGTTAGGTCTCAAGGGTGGCGGTGTCGCCAGCACCGTGACCACGGGGGAAACATTGTGTGTGGCGGTGTCTGCCGGAGTCCTCGACGACGGTCTTCAAACACTAGTCTGGCGAGGGCCAACAACAGGAGCGGTGGAGTGCCCTGTTTTTCTTTTCTCTGGCTTTACCTTTGTCTCTACTCCGTTTTTCCCCGTTGGAATTGTGGGATGAGACTGTACTTACCTAGCGGCACCTACCTAGCTGTGCTTGTGGCAGCCTTGTTTAGGTCTTGAACACCCGCTGCTTTGTTACAAATTTATTGTATGTGTTGGCGAGTACTCAACACAATTCCTTTCACGACTCTGAAATACTTTACCAGTGTAGTGCAAGAGTCTGTCCCCGGAGTAAATTAATTACTTCGAGTGACAAACTGCCCCTGTTAAACCACTTGGATAGTTATCTAGACATTTGTGATGGTCTGAAAGCATATTACGGTTCCAATAATGCGTAAACTGGCAAGTAAACCTGTCTTAAACAGAGATTATTCTCACGTTTTAACTTGATTGTATTATAAATTGTTGATTTAAAGTATAACAATTTATGCTGAAAACGTTTTCTTTGAAATAGTCTGAGGAATTAGGTTTTCTGTAAAATAAATTCATGGGTGTACTTAAATAGTTTTCAAATTCTATACCTCATATTTTAGGCAATATTTCACCATATTAACATAACTAAATGTAAGGAAACTTAACGTAACCTACCCTAACCAAACCTTAACCGAACCTAACCATGGATAGAGAGCAGATAATAGTACTAATTATGTAGTCATTCTGAATCCATTACCGTTATCTTGAGGTTATCTTGAGATGATTTCGGGGCTTTTAGTGTCCCCGCGGCCCGGTCCTCGACCAGGCCTCCACCCCCAGGAAGCAGCCCGTGACATCTGACTAACTCCCAGGTACCTATTTACTGCTAGGTAACAGGGGCATTCAAGGTGAAAGAAACTTTGCCCATTTGTTTCTGCCTCGTGCGGGAATCGAACCCGCGCCACAGAATTACGAGTCCTGCGCGCTATCCACCAGGCTACCAGGCCCCGTGAACGAATTTCCTCCCTGGTGACAAGTTGAATGCACATACCAACCCGTCCTCGTCAACAAACCCTTGTTTATTAATGAAAACGGGCTACACACAACTCACCACTGATGACGTTCGATCATTCCTCAAACAGTGCTTCACTAACGACCTGTTCGAATCGCAGTGCTGTAAACAGCCCGTCCGTCAAACAAAGACCTAAAGTCCATTCCATGCACCCGCCAAACCCCCTGTTTATGAATGAAAAACGGTAAGTCCATTCCATGCACCCGCCACACCCCCTGTTTATGAATGAAAAACGGTTTACACGCTACTCACAACTGATAACGTTCGAACAGTTCCGGAACAAGTGTTTTGCTGATGACTTTTGTTTGAACCACAACAATGATTCACCCACGTACTACAAATACAAATAATCGCCAACAGAACCCAAACACCTGACCTAACCTATGCCTAAATATGAACAATGTGGTAATATAAAATAATATTAATTTATATTTGAGAAAAATCCTGTTTTGTATAAACAGCATGTTAAAATTTATGAATGCTTTTTTAATTGGGGGTGACCGCTGGGTGGAATGGACTTGGTCAGAGGACGGGTTGTATAAAAGCTTCACCCACATACTTCAAATACAAATAATTGCCAACAGAACCTAAACACCTAACCTAACTTATGCCTAAATATGCACAACATGCTAATATATAATAATAAATTCTATTTGAGAAATTTTATATTTTAAAAGAACATCAAGTTAAAATTGCTGAATGCGTCTTTGGGGTCTGCCGCTGGATGGAATGAACGTATCCAGAGGCCAGGTTGCACAACTCACACATGCACCAGAACGAGTCTCTGCAAACTAATTGTCTTCTTTGGCTAATTACCGATCATCTTAGCTTCTTTAACTGCTGTATAGGTTATATACAGTATAAGATTCCTATTACATAATGGGTATGTAATATAAAATAAGTGAGAGAGTATTGCTAATACAAAGTGATTAAGTGTATCATTTTTACATTTGCCGGTAAATAAACATCACTAGACTGAGGACGGGACCTTATAAGTATTCAAATTGGTGCTTGTCAACAAGCTCAACATGCCTGAGCTTGTGTTTCATAAACCGTTTCATAAATGCAAACTAATCCACAATGATTAAGGAAAGATTTACAGGTTTCATTAATGAGCACTCGAGTGCTTGATGAATCGTGGCTCTGGTTCGAAAGATCACCTTCACTGGTCGTGCATACTCTTCCTGCAACTTACCCAGTCTCTGCATCACTTTTCAGGTTAATTGACTTCATTACTCGGCCTACAGTGTTGGGAATCTCAGTTACTTGTGTAGAGTCTCCCTTCTGTCCTTGCTGGAGGCTGGCGAAGGCCTCTCGTGTCACCATGGCCTCTCGCGTCACTATGGCCTCTCGCGTCACCATGGCCTCTCGCGTCACCATGGCCTCTCGCGTTACCATGGCCTCTCGTGTCACCATGGCCTCTCGCGTCACCATGGCCTCTCGTGTCACCATGGCCTCTCGCATCACCATGGCCTCTCGCGTTACCATGGCCTCTCGTGTCACCATGGCCTCTCGCGTCACCATGGCCTCTCGCGTCACCATGGCCTCTCGTGTCTCCGTCTCCTCTCTCTAGTATTTCACAACTTGACCCAGGCTTACATACCCCCCTCCGACACCCTTCATATACTCACCCTCCCTTAGCCACTTTGGTTGCTTCTACATATAGATCTTTATTTTTCTGTTTCTAATGCCTCCATACTTTAATGAGATGCTTGTGTCTCTATTCTTTAAAATCTTCTCTCGATTTTCTTGGCTACCACTTCGTCTGACCTTTCCTTGTCCACTTCTTTCATTCTGTCTGCTTCCTCATCTTTATTACTTTGTTTTTATTATTTCTTCAATAACTTAATAATATTGGCCTACATGGCAGTGGTCAACACAGTTGGCTCTAAACCGAAGGTCCCGGGTTCGATTACCGGGCAGGGTGAGGAGTTTTCATACCCTTCCTCACACCTGAGGCCTCTGTTTACATAGCAGTAAAGAGGAATCAGGGAGTTAGGCAACTGTTGTGGGTGGCGCCCTGGTCAGCAGGTGACTTTGGGGACCTTGAAAAGCCTGACTGGCTTCCTGTCCCCAACAATGGGAGATCTTAACATCGCTTCTCTCCTCTCTCTCTCTCTCTCTCTCTCTCTCTCTCTCTCTCTCTCTCTCTCTCTCTCTCTCTCTCTCTCACTCTCTCTCTCTCTCTCTCTCTCTCTCCTTTCTCGCTATCCTTCTCGCTCTGGTTTGGTCACTTTCCTAGTTCTAGCTATCTGTCTTTCCTAGTTATCACCCCTTCATCATTTATCTTATTATCTTATTTATACATTTCTGCTTTCTAATTTTCTCTCCTGTCTTTCTCCTCCCTTTCATCACCAATCTTATTATCTCTATTCCCTCAGTTGGTCTTAATTCGTATTTCGCATACAAATTCTCCCCCAGTTTCTCTAGGTACTGAGGAAAGGTCTAGTGGAACTAATAGGACGCATTTTTTACGTTTTGGTATCCAACGTTCCAAATAGAACCTACTATGAAAAGTAGCGGGTCACAAATATCTGTTTACCACATATCGGTCTCAATGGGTTAGGTGGGTTGCTTGGGCTCGTCTGTTTCTAGTTAGTTTGGGAGGCTGGATTTTTTACGTAGTGACGTGTGAAGACAGCGGAGTGAGGGTTAAGTCTCGCTTCTTGCAGGTCGGCGCTCAATCCCCGACTGTCTAAATGGTTGAGCACCATTCTTTCCCTCCGTTCTGTCCGAAATCATTATCCTGATCCCTTCCCAGTGCTATATAGTCGTAATGGCTTTGTGCTTTATCCTGATAACTACCTACATCTAGGCTGGTGTTGCCCTGTGGCATTTATATCCTTGTTGCCTGGCTGGGATCTAGTGTTTTGGACAATTGTGAGGTAGATGAGGTAGATATCTGTGAGGTAGATGAGGTAGATATCTGTGAGGTAGATGAGGTAGATATCTGTGAGGTAGATGGCTGTGAGCTGTGTATTTGCGTGAGAGAAATGTAGGGTAGATAGCAACAGATTAAATCGTTGTGGGATGAATGTCAGTAAATAACTGTGGACAAAATAGCTGTAAACCAGATAGCCGTTAACTGGATCGCTGCTGAAAATCAGGCAGGTGTGAGCTAATAGCTTTTTCCGGAGTGATGGGCGGCATGAATATGATTTTCATCCAAATATTTCTCGTGTTCCATGTTCATTCTCTCTCCCTTTCTCTCTTTCTCTCTCTCTTTCTCTCTCTTTCTCTCTCTCTCTCTCTCTCTCTCTCTCTCTCTCTCTCTCTCTCTCTCTCTCTCTCTCTCTCTCTCCTCTCTCTCTCTCTCTCTCTCTCTCTCTCTCTCTCTACCCCCTTTTCCTGCACATTGTGTTGTACTTGTTAGTCACTACAAGGGGGTGCATGTCTGTCAGTCGCCACTTACGCCAGTATAATACTGGCGATTTCGCAATTATAGAGTAATGCCGGGTGAGGTCAGCCCCTACCCGTGCCCCGGCGTCTCAGCCCCTACCCGTGCCCTGGCGTCTCAGCCCCTACCCGTGCCCTGGCGTCTCAGCCCCTACTAGTGACCCGGCGTCTCAGCCCCTACTAGTGACCCGGCGCCTCAGCCCCTACCCGTGCCCCGGCGTCTCAGCCCCTACCCGTGCCCTGGCGTCTCAGCCCCTACCTGTGCCCCGGCGTCTCAGCCCCTACCCGTGCCCCGGCGCCTGCAGAAGGGCCATGCTGGCCCCCCATTCGCTCAGATACTTAAAGTGGCGGAATTGTTAAGGTTTTGTCTTTTATGGCATTTTAAACGTATCATTATGTAATTATAGAGTGATCATAGAGTAATTTTTAAAGTACAACATTCAACCCCAAAACATTGCGGCATAGTGGGCGATTCCCCTTAAAGAAGGGATTAATGGGGCCGACCCCACCATATATATATATATATATATATATATATATATATATATATATATATATAATATATATATATATATATATATATATATATATATATATATCTTTGATACTCTCCTGGAGAACGTGAGCAAAATGCAAAAGCAGAGAGCAATTTTAGGTGCCATTGTTAAGGCAGCCAAGTGTGAAATAGTCTCCTGTACCTCACATACCACTGAACACGACCAAAAATCTCCTGCCAGATATCTGAATAATTGAACCAGCGGATTGCACCCTCCTAGATGCCCTTGTAGTTGCCCTCTTAGGTGCCCTCCTAGGTGCCCTCCTAGGTGTCCTCCTAGGTGCCCTCCTAGGTGTCCTCCTAGGTTTGCATGTAACTCAGGAGATCCTAGTTGCAAAAATCACCGACCTAAGGAGCATGGATGACAAGGTTGACTAAAGTGGTATTGTAGTGGTGTTGGTACTTACCTATCTGTGACTAGGGGGGGTGAGTGGTATTCCGAATTTCGGATTATTTGTCGATCCTGACCTTAAAGTTGTGGATGGAGGTGGCTCCCACAACTTCTTCTTTCAGTGCATTCCACTTATTGACCCCCTTTCTCTCTCCCCCCTTATACAGGAGGCACGAATATCTCTTTACATTATTTCATTTGCATTTCCAGCTTCCACCTGTGTCCTCTTGGCCTACTGTCTCTCAACTAAGGGGGCTGTCCTCGTCCACCTACGCTATCTTAGTATCTTGTATATTAGGATCATAGCTCCCTCTGTGTTTTCTATATTAGATGCTATATAATCTCGTTGCAACAGTGTACTTTTTCAAGTTATTCTTTTATTGTATGTAGTGTATATGCCAGCGCCGCATATTCTAGTATTGGTCTCACGTGGGTTTGATTTGTCTTGAAAGAGTCCTTATTAAGGTTATTATATGAGGCTCTAATCTTTGCCAACTTCCTTTATGTTGCCGACGTAATCCTGTACAAGTGCCTCTGGTGTTAGTCAGGGAATTATACCATTCCCAAACGTTATTCTTTTCATTTCCGTAGTTACCTTTCTCATAGTTGTTACTCCTTATGGACCTCTCTCTCTCTCTCTCTCTCTCTCTCTCTCTCTCTCTCTCTCTCTCTCTCTCTCTCTCTCTCTCTCTCTCTCTCTCTCTCTCTCTCTCTCTGTCTCTCTCTCTCTCTCTCTCTCTCTCTCTCTCTCTCTCTCTCTCTCTCTCTCTCTCTCTCTCTCTCTCTCTCTCTCTCTTTCCTATCTTCATTATCTTACAGGGAAGATAATGAAGTCTGGCACTAATGGGCTTGAACTCTAACAGCCATTTCTGTGCCTACTCCTGCAGTTTGTCAAAGTCTGATGACTGTCAATGTCTGTAGTACTCCTCGGTTCTTATGTTGCACATTAGTTTTGCAACATGTATAAACATTGACGTATATGTGCTACCCCCCCCCCCCCCCCCGCGGTAGGCCGTCCACATTGTTCCCGGACAGAGCCATGGGAAGGCGCACGTCTCCTATATATATATATATATATATATATATATATATATATATATATTATATATATATTATATATATATATATATATATATATATATATATGCGAACAAGCCTGAATGGTCCCCAGGACTATAACCAACTGAAAACTCACACCCCAGAAGTGACTCGAACCCATACTGCCAGGAGCACTCTGCTGGCGTACAGGATCCCTTAACCACTGGACCAACACGACCGGACAAAAGAGGATGGTAGCCGAGGCTATTTCCATCCCCCCGCCGGCACTCGGTTGGTAATCTTGGGCATGGTATTTTATCAAATCACCTCATTCTTTGGGGCACACGTGAGGGCATCATAGGCCTCGTAAAGGAGGACGAGGAGTCCCATGCTCTTTTTTTTTTAACCACCACTTCTCCACAGGTTGAGAGAAGTGGTCTCTACTCTGCACGTGTTGTCCACAGGTGTTACAGCTGTCTGTCTCCGAGCTGCCATTGGCTTTATTTGTTGAAATGAAAGCTGAATATATCGTATACTTTGGTTGGCAGTCTTCCCTGTAGAGATGTGTTAGTGAAAACGAGAGAAAGGTCTAGACCAGTGTTCTCGACACGAATTGTTCTATATGTTCATTATGTTCTTCACTTAAAGGAGGTTGAAAAAAAAATTGACTTTTCAAAATGAATTTTAGGTGTTTATGAGATGACGCTGAGAGATGTGTTTCGCTGAGTCTGTCAACATCTTCAGAGGCAGAGGAGACTGTGAATACAAGTTAGCTAGAGCTAACTTAGAGCTAACTTAGAGCTAACTTAGTTAGAGCTCAACCAAGAAGGATGAGGTGTAGGCGATGAGTCACAATAACGTGGCAAAAGTATATTGACCAGACCACACACTAGAAGGTGAATCGACTTGAGAATGAGAATTCCCGACTTGTGAATCGACTTGAGAATAGTCCAGGACGGACCGAAACGTCGTCGTCGTCCCTTCACCTTCTAGTGTGTGTGTGGTCTGGTCGATGAGGTGTAGATTTGGTGCTTCATGGCCTGATCGGCCTTCGCCAATCCTCTATCATGTTCTTATATATATTTTATTTGTGTGCTTCAGACAAGCCGGAGTGCCTGACGTCGCCGACGACGTACTTCATCTACGACAAGCCCATCAACGTGACGTGTACGGTGTCGTCTCACCCGCCCGTCCGCGCCGTCCACTGGCAGTGGAACAGCAGCAGCGACGTGATCAAGACTCAGCACGTCAACCAGCCCACGGAACGCCTGTCTACCCAGCTCACTGTCTACCCCATCGAGACCTTCGAGGACAGACTCCTGTCTTGCTGGGCCGTCAACGAGATGGGGCGGCAGCCCCTCGCATGCGGGTTTTCTATTAAAGTCGCAGGTGAGCTGATTGGGCTTCTCCTCGTCGTCCTCCCATGCTGTGCTCCCAGGGATTGGCTCCTTCTTGTTGGAAAGTTTGGCGGTTTGGGGGCGAGCAGGGAAGGAAATGAATGAGGGAAATGGAGTGTGTGTGTGTGTGTGTGTGTGTGTGTGTGTGTGTGTGTGTGTGTGTGTGTGTGTGTGTGTGTGTGTGTGTGTGTGTGTGTGTGTGTGTGTGTGTAATGACCTAAGTGTAGTTACAGGATGAAAGCTACGCTCGTGGTGTCCCGTCTTCCCAGCACTCTTTGTCATATAACGCTTTGAAACTACTGACGCTGTGTGTGTGTGTGTGAGTGTATTTACTATTTATATTTACTATTTGTGTCTACAGAATCGAGCTATTAGCTCTTGGGCCCCGCCTTTTAATCAATCTGTTTTTCGTCTATTATGTCTACTACATATATTTCTCTCTAACACACTCACTAGAAACATTAGAAATATTTTTTTCAGTGTCAGAGTAGTTAACGGATGGAATGCATTAGGCAGTGCTGTGGTGGAGGCTGACTCCATACACAGTTTCAAACGCAGATTTGATAAGAGCCCAATAGGCTCAGGAATCTGTTCATCAGTAGATTGACAGTTGAGAGGCGGGACCAAAGAGCCAGAGCTCAAACCCCGCAAGCACAACTAGGTGAATACACACACACACACCATTAACGTTACGTAGGTAATTGATGAGCCAATCAGGAATGCCAGAGGTGTCCGCGCCCGCTAATTGGTCGGCTGAAGACCCGGTCACTCAGCACGCGATAATCAATTACAGAGTAATCACAAAGTTATCATGAGCGCTGACCCAGCTAGGTGGAATGTGGGAGCTTGCTGGGGCACAGCGGTGGGGCACAGACCCTCTCCTGTGGTGAATATTGCTTAGATGGCGGAGAGAGAGAGAGAGAGAGAGAGAGAGAGAGAGAGAGAGAGAGAGAGAGAGAGGGAGAGAGAAAGAGAGAGAGAGAGTGCGCGTTTGTGTGTGCGAGTCTGCGTGCGCACGTTACTACATGACCTGGTTACATCTCGTGTGCCTTGTCATTGCTTTAGATTGCCACAACCAGGATAACTTTCCCAGTTACCTGGAGTGGTCTACAGTCACCAGAGGAGTGTCCCAGTTACCCGGAGTGGTCTACAGTCACCAGATTGGTGTCCCAGTTACCCGGAGTGGTCTACAGTCACCAAAGGAGTGTCCCAGTTACCCGGAGTGGTCTACAGTCACCAGAGGAGTGTCCCAGTTACCCGGAGTGGTCCACAGTCACCAGAGGAGTGTCCCAGTTACCCGGAGTGGTCTACAGTCACCAGAGGAGTGTCCCAGTTACCCGGAGTGGTCCACAGTCACCAGAGGGGGTGTCCCAGTTACCCGGAGTGGTCCACAGTCACCAGAGGAGTGTCCCAGTTACCCGGAGTGGTCTACAGTCACCAGAGGAGTGTTCCAGTTACCCGGAGTGGTCCACAGTCACCAGAGGGGTGTCCCAGTTACCCGGAGTGGTCCACAGTCACCAGAGGAGTGTCCCAGTTACCCGGAGTGGTCCACAGTCACCAGAGGGGTGTCCCAGTTACCCGGAGTGGTCTACAGTCACCAGAGGAGTGTCCCAGTTACCCGGAGTGGTCCACAGTCACCAAAGGGGTGTCCCAGTTACCCGGAGTGGTCCACAGTCACCAAAGGGGTGTCCCAGTTACCCGGAGTAGTGATACCTCTTGTGTTATTGTCCACCTCTTAATGTTTTCTCCATCTGCTACTCGTAGTTCTTGAGTGAAACAATATCATCTGCGGCTCCCACTTGACTGCGAAGAAATTGAACACTGCTACACTTTAAACTTAGATTTTTCTCATTAATAACTACTCTATTACTTTTTCTTTATACCGCTTCCTTCCCTCCAAACCCAGTGACTTATTTCGCTCGCACGTCCTCATTAGTAAAGAGGTATGCTCACTAATGTCATTCAGTCCCATACATGTTGTCCTAAGACAAAGGTATACTCATATTCCTCTTAAGACTCTCCTGTGTATAGTAGTTTACAATATGTCAGGATTTCAGCGCTTTTATGTACACATTCATTAACTCTTAAAATATAAAAGAAGATGGACGCATCTTTTCTGAGTCCCCTTCAACCACTCGCCCTTTTTCCTAAATTATTTCCTCTTCCTGAGGGAAATGTTAGTCTCGAGGTCTTGATAACAGTTCAGAGTGGCTTGAAAATCCCCTCGTATTGTCAGAGGATAGGAGATAGACTAAGACTGCTCCATCCTCTAGGGTAGGTGAGGGAGGGTTCTGAAGCTGATCTTATTGATAAAAAAAAAGAGGAGCAAACTAAGATAGTTCCTTTCTCAACGGCTCTTGTTCGTGGCTGATGCAGCTGCTGTAGTTCCTAGAGGATAGGAGATAGACTAAGTATGTTTCATCCACTAGGGCAGCTGAGTATGGCTTATGAAGCCGCTCTTCAAGCTTATGGAAGAGTCCTGTAGGACGACACTGCATAGCCCTGCTAGTACGATTCTTCCTATCCGGGAGTCTAGCCACTACTGCAAACCTAACCTAACCAATTAGTTAGATGATTGTTAATACGTGTATGGCATCAATTATTCCATTGTTATGATGCTAGAGGAATCATATATCAATACATTAACCCCCCCCCCCTCCTATATGACATGATGGGTCGCAATAGGATTTCATCCTTGACCCACGTATAGTAACACCCCTCCCACCCCCCCCCCCCACCCCCCTTCCATCCTCCCATGATCGATTACAACAGGATTTCATTTACACCCAGAGCACGAAGGCTAAAAGTGAATTATTCACAGATTTGAAAATATAAAAAACACGGCTATTGCAAAACAATCGAAAGGAAATGTAATACAGTTTGGAATTTAGATGGGCTGTTTTGCATATTGTTAGCGCGGCGCTGAAACTTATTTAAGTTAGGCCGTTTAAATTGTCTTAAAGGTTATTTTGTTGGGTTGTAGTGAAGGAAATAGGCGCCTCCGCTCCACCCTCGTTGTTGTTTCAGATTTAGCTGCTCAGAACGAAGTGTCCATGTAGCACGGGCTATGGTGAGCCCGTAGCCATCCTCGTTGGTAAAGGTAGTTGACGGGTTTTGTGACCCATTTTCTGTGATAAACTTTACGGAACACATTTTCTGTGATAAGACTTTACGGAGCCCATTTTCTGTGATACATTTTATGGAACACATTTTCTGTGATAGACTTTACGGAGCCCATTTTCTGTGATACACTTTACAGAGCCCATTTTCTGTGATACACTTTACGGAACCCATTTTCTGTGATACTCTTTACGGAGCACAATTTCTGTGATACACTTTACGGAGACCATTTTCTGTGATACATGTTCTCTGATACACTGACTTTCTTAGACTTGGCGTTACCACTGTTGGACCCCCCACGTGTGTGAGGCCGAGTTTCGAGTCTCCTAGAGTACTGGTGAATGGAAGGAGTATATCTTGAATATACGTGCCGTATAGCTTGATATGCGCAGTATAACATGATATATGAAGTATAACGTGATATATGAAGTATATCATATATGCAGTACATCATATATGCAGTATATCATATATGAAGTATTTATATGCAGTATATCATATATGAAGTGTATATATGCAGTATATCATATATATGAAGTATATCATACATGCAGTACATCATATATGAAGTATATCATATATGCAGTATATCTTGATATATGGTGTATGTCTTGAATATATATATATATATATATATATATATATATATATATATATATATATATATATATATATATATATATATATATATATATATATATTCAAGATATACACCATATATCAATACATACACCATACACCACAAAAGACATAAGCGTTAACAACACTCAGTGTTGTGTTGTTAACGCTTATGTCGACCGTGCTCTCAGCCACAGCTCAGAATGGAAGCAAGTCGACGAAGAACTCTGTAGGGTAAGGCAGGTCCTAGTCAACAACGGCTTCTCCAATGGTTTCGTCGAAGACATCATAAGAAGGAAAGTGAAACGCCATGCAACCTCTGAAGAGACAACTAACACAACACCTATACCACCTATTAGACTATTTTACAGGAACTTCTTTTCCACAGCTCATAAAACGGAGGAAAGGGTCCTGAAAGATATTGTTAATAGAAACGTTATCCCTACAGACAAAAATCAGAGGATACAACTGACGATTTACTATAAAACCAGAAAAAAACGGCCAGCCTACTCATGAGAAACTCTCCAGACACAAAACAGAACGCTTTAAAAGAGACTACCGTCGTCTATGCCTTCAAATGCCCACTTGGGGACTGTAAGCTCCAAAAAACCCAGTATATAGGCAAGACAACAACATCTCTTTCTAGGCGTTTAACGATGCATAAGCAACAGGGCTCCATTAAGGAACATATAATCTCTTCCCACAACCAAACCATCGCCAGAGAAATCCTAGTAAACAACACAGAAATCATCGATAGATACAGCGATAGCAGACGGCTTGACGTTTGCGAGGCACTACACATTAAGAAGTCAACACCAGCAATCAACAGCCAATTAATGCACAACTATATTCTACCCACCTCAAGACTCCGCTCCAATATAGAAGCATCAAGAAATATGGACCAATAGGCTTTCTACAATCACTTCCATTCAATACCCATTGTTTCGTGTTCTGTCTTGTGTTTGACTTTAATACCCATTCAATACCCATTGTTTCGTGTTCTATCTTGTGTTGAAATTTAATACCCATTGTTGAAAGTTCGTTCACCTCATCCACCTCACCCAAATGTATATATAAACCTCGAAGATGTGTAAGCTCTATTCAGTTTCAGTTGTGTGTTTGTAAACTAAAGTCTTTGAAAATGTAATAAGTTTTACGAAACGCGCTCAAGTGTCGCGTCAGACTAGAAATAAAAATGAATTTTGGAGAATTGATCTTTGAATTACCATCAACAGTGAAAAGAAACGTAAGAAA